TATCCATATTAGTAGTCGGATGCAAGGAAAGCAGAAATCTGCAGAAGTTTAAAGTCTTGCCAGTTGATGGAATCCATGTACAGCCACCAAATGTTAAAAATATTACATTTCCTATGAAGTTCACATCTATATATGGAACCCACATTTGTACAGATATATCTGGCTGTCCTGTTCCGTGCAGGAACCCAAACTGGTTCATCGGTAAGACACTGATTTTGCTAATTAGTAAAGCAGAAATTTCCATTGCAAGGGCATTTCAAAGCAAAATTAAATACAAGAGGAAAAAAACTCCTTATTAAACTAAAATGTGGGGTAACAGCTCACCACATCCTGCTACTGTGGCATCTGCTGTTTAGCAAAGGAAAGGTTCCTCTTTCAAAAGCCTTGACAGGTAGAGAGGTCACATGTTAACTGCATTTCTCAGCATTCTTATTTTTTGACTTTTCTGACAGTGGAAAAGCTGAACATGACAATGGAAAATACCAGTTGAGAGAAGGCATTGTGGGGAACCGTAGGTGTTAGCGATGAAAGTGACAGTGGCCTACCCCCCCAAAGCCAGCAGAAACAGTGAAAAAAGAAATCTGATGACAAAGGCACTGTAAATCGTAGTACTCAGCTGTTTGGTCTGATAGGGATCAACCTGGTGCTTTAAGGGAAGTGTTGTGCTACTCTAGGCATTGAAGATTAAACTTCTTGCATGCTATCCCAGATCTGCTGCTAGAGCTGTATGTAGGGCCTGCAACAAGCTGGGTAATCATTCGCATCTCATCTGTCCTGGTTATAAAACGGGTCTTCGTTAGCACTCAGGCTATGCTGTTTTAAAAATGAATGTAAAGCCTTGTAATGAGTACAAATTGCAACCTTTCTTTGAAGAATGTTGTGCTTATTCAAAACCCAGCTACTCCTGGAATGGTACTGCAGACACGAATGGTTGTGTATCCAAGCAGCTGGGAAATCAAAGACCAGCATTTGCTTTAGGAATGAAGCTCAAACCTGGGCCAAAATACTGCTTGCACGGAATGCTGCTGTTCTGTGGACCATGCACAATCCTCTTCTAGTAGTAGCAGGTTTAGAAGTCAAAACTTGAGCATTCAAGACTGCAACCAGCTGATTCTCTTTAACTAAATAAAAAATACTTTGTTACAAATGTGGGAGCCAAGAGAAAAATGCCAATTACTTTATCTGCACGATCAGATCATTCCTTCTAGGAAGTTCTGCAGTGATCCTACAGGACCAAGTGGAGCTCTGAGGATACCACAAGGATAGATGGCGAAGGAGATGGTGAACAGGGAACAGTCAGCTCATTTACTTGAAACATGAGTTAAATTTACAAGAAACAAATTTAAAACAGAAAAAAAAAAGTACTTTTTCCACCCTCACATCCCTACACTGCAGAACCCATCGTTACGGAAAACTGAAGGCCAACACTGGTTCAGAAGGTTATTAGAAAACTTAACAGAAGAAATTTCATCAAAGTTCATTAGAAGCAAGGATGCAGCCCTCTGGCTCACAAAGTCTTCCAGCAGAGCAGTGGTGTACTAGGGAAAGCACCACTGGAGGTGTGCTCTTTCCCAAGGAGCTGACAGTAGTGGTAGTTGTAACACTGGTGTGGATGGGTGCACAGGATGCTCCAGCAGAACCATACTTCAGTAACAGAGGTTTGATTTGCTGTTGGGAAGGTCAGTCTTGGGTCAGCCTACAACAAGAATATTGATGTTTTCTTGGCAAACAAAACATTCCAAGACGTTCCCATTTGATGCAAAATATAACGTTTCCTAGCATGCGACAAAAATGTTAACATGTTTTGGAATATTAAAAGGAAGCAAATTTTCCAGAAATCAGAAACAAAAAACGTGGAGAGTCCTCATGGGAGTGCTGGACCATGCAGTTGAGGGTGGTGGGCAGCATCCTTCTAGCCAAACCCAGCAAGCATCACCCAGCACACCTCAAATGCGCTTGCCTCCTGGTTTTCCCCCATTCCCACCCACCAGAGGGTTTTCCTTGCAGCCTCAGGTGTCGCAGCGGGCAGTGAGGGAAAGCCCGCACAGATCACACTTCCCCTTTCATCTCTGCTAGCGGTCTGCTGCTGCAAGATCAGCTGTGCTGCCACGTATTCCCCTGCATGGGACTTCTGCATGCACCCTTGTCCTTCTCTGCAGGTTTTTTCCACTGCATTATTGGGAATATTTTGCGTTTTTGACACTGCACTGGGTAAAAGGGAAACGGCAAGTGAAATAGTGAAATAAAGAGAGCTGTGTCTGAGCCACGCTGTCCACAGACCACTGTGGAGGAGAGAGATGTCGAGAGTCCTCTTGGTGGTTTTGGCCCTGTTTGATTGTGATGTCTGGTGGCAATGGATGCGCTTATGTTGAGGTTCAGCTGTCTCCCAAGTCCGTGGTGACATTGTCTAGTGACTATTGTTGAACAGCTGCCAGATGCTGTTGCATGAGGACACCAGGCTTAATCATCAAGGTAGCAGAAGTCCACCTCTCTTAAGAAAGTAATATAAAATAAAAACAAGCAATGAACTACTGTGAGTCAATAACAAAATATGAGTGATTTCAGCTGGGGGCAAATTGATTTGGCTGCTGAGAGATGGAGAGAGCGTGACTCAAGGAGCACCGTGGTCTTATGCCCTGAGCCAAGGCAGATGGGCTCCCAGCTGAAAGGAAAAGTCGTGTCATATGTGGAGTAAGACGTGTCCTACAGCCCTCAAGTGACAGAGGATCAGCTGAGGGTACCTGGAGTGATTGGAAGGGGCAGCCTCTTGAGTGCCTAAGCCAGTTTTGGAGATGGACCTTCAAATCAAGTTGCTTCCAAAATACCTTTGCTACATGCTTTAATAGGGGAAAGCATGAGCTGGCAGGCTGAGGCTGTCGCTTTTGAAAGTTTTACTGAAAGAATCAAGTAAGAGTAACTCAGCAAGTGCTACAGCATTAGTCAGAGATTTGAGATATCTTGGTGCTAATCCTGATGGGGAGGTCCTTCACATTTCCACCTTCCTGTCCCCATGAAATACCAGTGATGTTTATGTTCACATTTTACAGAAGCACTGTGAAGATGCATTGTTTCATGTTTCTAAGCACAACGTAACTGTACCAAGAGTGAGGATAGCCCTGACTAGTGTCTTACTTTTATTTGATTTAACAGAAGCTTTGAGGGAAAGTTAGCAAGACTATGATGCTGCCTGGCTGGTAGGAGGATTCGTTTTCATTGTCACATAAAACACAAAGGTATCGCTGTGTAGTTTTGCTGCAGACCCAAGAGTGCCTTGACAAGTTCATCACGGAAGCAGTCTTTACAAAAAAATCATGGCAGAATCATTCCACAGAAGTATGCTGTTCTCATTCGAGGCAGAGGCTCAGTCCCTGAGGCTCTCTGGAGTCTGGCCACATGTAAATGGGGAGGCACTTCTGGCTGGGTTTGGATGCGTGCAAAACAATCTTTGCCTCAGTGCAGGGCTTGCCGCTTCAATTTGTTTTTGCTGTTTGGTAATATTAAAGATGAGCTCCACGGCACTCTCAAGAGGAAGAACTGCTTTGTCTTTTCACAGCTCATTTCCATACTTCTTAGCTTGCTGCTGTAAACAGATAGTTACAAATGCAACTGACATTTCCTCTCTGAAGTATGGTGTGTGTATCCATTGGTAGAATTGGTTTTGGTGGCCAGGACCTGTGACACAAATCCTGACTGATTCATGTGCTGCAATTACTAAGTGGGCAATAGGTCTGCAGGAAAAAAATACCAGCCATAAAAGCCAACACCAAACGTACCCAACTAATTGCTTCAGGAAGCTGGTTTTACACAGGCTTGGTCTTTTCCAGTAAACACATGAAGTTATCTGGATTACTGTGAAGACCAGCCCACAAGGAAAGGAAAATGCAGGCTTTTCCGTGGTGCTTCCATGACGTGGGCACGTGTTTCCCAGTCCTGGCAATGTTAGAGAAACTCAGAAGCAGTGATAGTCCTGTTGATGGCATTTTGTCTATCTCCGTGTAAATCAGGTGGTGGCAGTTGCTGTAGGGAGGTGGAGTGGAAATAAAAGGGATGTTGTGTAGTCCACTGTCGATGACCTTTGCCAGGTTCAGTCATTTCCTGTCCATCTGCCAAAAATCACATGGACATAATTGGAGTGTGGGAAACTGCATTGCTTGATGATCTTCAGGGGAGGGGGGAAAGAAAGAAAGAAGACTCGTGAATAAAGAAAACAACACTTTATCAGGGGAGATGCAGTCTGACTGGCTGATGCTGAGATAGCAGACTTTTTTCATTCCCTCCTCTGACTCTTGCCAGGAGAATTTTTTTAACTTGTTTGTCCCTCTCATCTGTTTGTGTGGATAGAAGTAAAGTGTGCATGTCCACATGTGTTGGTCACCACAATGGGAGGGTATATATTTAAACATGTTATCAACTCCAGGGAATGGGCAAGCATGCAGCAGTTTCCTCTCCTTTTATTTTTTTTTTTCCTAATATCAACCCACAGTGGAAAAAATCAGCATGTGAAGTTCTATTCTATCTAGGCATTGCAGCTGCACATACCCAGGTTCAGTGGTTGACTGGCAGCTTTCTGCCACCAGTACCTACCATGGCTAATACACTTTCCAAGCAGCGTTTTGTGGAAGGAGTAAATTATTCTAGGATCTCCTATGGTCCTCCTGGCTTTACATTTCTGAGGCAGTTCTAGAGCAAATAAAATGTTCTACCTGTAACCAATTTGAAATGTTAAGTGTGTTTGATGCAATCAGGGATCCAGGATGCTGCTGGTTTTTTGATGCCTGGTTTTACATGGTATTTAGCATGTTAATAACCTTGGTTAATCCTGCTGGTTTTGCACTGTGATCAGCCTGTACAAGCTGCCTGGTGATGTCACACTTACTGTTCAGAGCTGTACTGAAGCTGTCAAGGAAAGAGAGCGAGTTCAGGGGGGTTGTGGACTGAGGACAACTGCCTGCAGCAGCAGGATGCTAATCGATTCCTTTTCTTGTCTTCTTTCTTTGCAGTAAATGAAATTATAAGGAATGACCTTTCCAGTACCAATGTCCACTCATAGCTTTCACTGTGGGCCTGGTATGAAATACACACTTTTGACTTGGCTGGCACGTCACCTCGAGTCGAGAGATGCCGAATGAACTGAAGACGTTGCCTGGTACCACTCTGATCTTTCACCTTAATGAATGTCAGGAACTGAAGATTTACCTCTTGCTTGCAAAGAAGTAGCTCCTCAACTTCAACTGATGAAACAGCTTTTTTTAAAGAAAATCATCTCAAAAGAGAGAAGAGGGAGTATGCTCCAAGACGGCGCATTTCATGGGACAAAACTAGGAAACTCAGCAAAATCTGAGCACTTCTTCCCGTTGCTGATCCTTTTTGGCATGGCACCGCTGGAATACAGCCCTGGAAGTGCCTTATTTTACCAGGTTATGGCATCAGGGCATTTTTAATAAGCTTTGAATTCGCTACCATTAAAAGTGTTGGTAGGTGCAGAAACTCTAGAGCTTGAATTCTGGAGAGTGATACTGGAAAAAAGCAAAGGACTCTGCAGCAGAGTAGGGAGAGCAATCCCGACTCCAGTAAGACACGTTCATGAATTCCAGAATTTCCTCAGCTTTTCCTCTGCTGTAATGTACAGCCTATTGCCTTATTCTCAGTGCATTTCAAAAGCCTCCTGATTCGTCATCATCTCAGCTTTCTTTTTGCATATTGCCTTTATTACGTGCTAATGAATCATAGGATTGGTAGTAGTAGCATGGTAAGATTTTGATTTTGATCCGGCTTCTGTCATAGCACAAGTGAGTTGAATAGCACAAAAATAAAAAAGGTTGATGGACAAAAAATTGAAATCTATCTTTTACATGATAGATGAATGTGTATGCATGTACATACATACTAGTATATATGCATATATTTATATATGACAAATAATATAGATGATTGCCTAGTAAGGGCACTGAATTTAGCAATAATTTCAATTTCTGAGAATGCATTTCAAATCCACAGCAAATATTTCAGCTACTTCTTTTGAGGGTTTGTTGCACCTAAAGCAGGTATGCATTTTCTTTCCTCACGCAGTTAAGCAAGCACTTTAGATAGGCAAGAAGGATGCATACAAGATACATGTTATTTACCAAATGTCAGAATATGAGTTGTAGTAACTGTAAATACCATTATGGAAGAGTGTAAAATATTTGTTCAGTTATAATATTATTATTCCGCAGAAGCCTTATAACTCTCTGCTACGTGTATGGAAAAGGATGTTACCAAAAACCCACCTCGGTTTCACATGCGGCGCTGTATAGTGTGTTTTCAGATTAGCTAATGTTCCTGGAGCTACAGGTAGGCATGTAGTGTAGCCTTCAACATTGTATTTTTTACAATCAACTGCTTATGATATAACTAGCAACAACCTATTAATTCACATAACCAAAAGAAAAAAAAAATAAATAAAAACAAAACTAAAATAAAATAGCATGACTAAATTAAAAATGTTTAACATTAATATTGTGCCTTAGGAATCTGTGCCCCCTCCTGGAAACACACCCGAACTACACCCCCGAGTTGGGGTGGCTCCTTAACCCCGATGCAATGAAGACTGAACAGGTTTCACAAAAAGGTGAAATCCAACTAAGTGTTTTAAAACATTCTTCTGTATAATTATGTCTTACTTTCTTTAGGGAAAAAAAAAAAAAGATGAAAGCCATATTTGTCACATTTGCACATTACTGTGAAGACATGAGAATATAATATGGCTCTATGTATATAATATGCTGTTACTGGTCCTTATGATAGTCTGTTATTCCTCACCTGTTTAATCCCAATTATTTACCCTGTATTTAGCATTGTAGACGTTGCATGAAACGTTTCTTATAGACTGCCATATGAAAAGTTAAAAAGCTCGACAGATGTCAGCTTGACTTGTAGCTAGAAAATAGAACTAATAAAGCAAAATGTTTTGCTGGAAGCTAGTCTTAGAGTGGTTCATTTTATGTTATCTTGAAAAATCTTCTTTTCTCATATAAAATACCATTTTTACATTATATACATATATCTCTCCATCTCTTCTATATGAAGCTTCTTGCATCCTGCTAATATAATCATCTTAGTATGGAAGCAAAGTCTCTTGTCAACAGAACTCCTCTTCATTTCCCCACTGCATTTAAAGACATTGCTCCCAGGAAGAGGAAATTATATATGATATAATACTCAGATTTTATTCTCTCATTATTTCAGAAATGTCAATAAACTGTGCATGGAGGAATCTCTGATTATGCCAAAGCATTTTTTTATTCATGTATTAAATATCTTGGGTGAGGCTTTAACCATGTGGGACAATGCACACACACACACACACACACACACACAAAGGCACATTACAGCAGTAATTTTAGCAAAGTTTTCAAATGTATGGTTTGGCTATGTTGCATCTCCTTCATTCTGATTTTTATTTTCCTCTTTAAGCTATTTTGGGGAAAAAAAAAAAAAAAAAAAGACCCCAACCTGTTACTTTTAAGCCTGGATAATGGAAGATTATGCATCTGTTATATATGTATTCATAAAATAAAAACGAAAGCAGAAATACTTCCTGTATGAGACTGCTATCTTGTTTCTGTACATGTGTTATGGTTGTTGCTGTCAGTTTAGGAAAATGGTTTTCATCAACCTTTTTGAAAACAAAGCAAAACCAAAAAAGCCACAACACTCTGAACTTGGAGCGTAGGTATGTTCAAAAATAGGAACGTTCAAAAATACCCTTGCCAGGGAGGATTCTGACTGAGCCCTCTGGATGAATTTTAAGTGGTGAAACAAGCTACCTTATTAATCGTCCAACAGAGTACTTGGCATCTGTGTGCATTGCTTGGACAGCAGCTTCTTTTGCCCTCCCTGGAACTTTTCTGAAACATGTGGGTTGCTAAGGGTAGGCTTGGGATCTGTGGCCTTCAGTGCAGAAGATAGAGGAGATATTTTTGTTGGGCTGGAGGCTTCGGTAACCCTGAGAGAGAAAGGCTGGCCATGGGCTGGCAGGAGGGGATCGCTGGCCACCAGCTGCTTATGATGTGATCAATGGATCTGATCTGTGTGATGTGTCCTGCTCCTTGAACCTCCTCACTGCTCTGCCCCAGAGAAGGGACAACAGGAGGGTGTCAGCTTAGTCAAAGCTGGGCTGAACACAGCTCTGGGCTTCCATGAGCTCATCAGCTGGTGCCTCTGTATTTACCAACATCTGACACCTGCTGGGCCATGAAATGCTGAGAAAACCTGAGCTGCTTCAATTTTTCAGGACAGAAGGCAAGATGAAAAGTATACAAGCATGCCTACCACAGTAGTCTGAGTTTATATAAGCACTTGAAAATCACTCAAAAATTCTTCAGGGAGAGGGAGACACAAATGTGCATTGAAGTCTGTTGAAAGAACTTGCTCTGCCTTGGGTTTCTCTTCCTGTATGAAGTATCACTCCCTGCTCAGACATCACATCTACCTTCCCTGGGGCTGGTACCCAACCCCAGGCCATTTAAAGAAAGGCAGATTCTCCAAGCCCATCAAAACCCAGATAGGCCCAGCTCTTCAGAGATTAGTCAAAGAACTCTTTCTCTTCTTCCCAGTCTGGAGGGTGGACACAGTGTTATTTGTGCCTCATGGGCAGCATGAGCTGTATTGTTGGTGAGGTTCCTGGAAAAAGGAAAATACTGAAAACTCAGTCACAAATTCTCCTGGACACCATGACACTTTGTATCACAGTAAAATGTCACAAACTGAGTTTACTGGAGCACCTACTTCAGTCGTTGTGTTACCTGACCTCCTGTGAGCTTCCTTTCCCTCCCATTTCCACACATCATTCACTCAAAGCACAGCAGACCCAAGCACAGCTACATTAACTATGTCTTGACCAGACTTCTCCAGGCAAAAATAGCCTTCAGCAGACTCCTAAGTGACTACTTCCATTCATATCCAAAGCAGAAGGTGAATCCCACACATCCATCTGGTGCTGTTTGACTAAATAGCCTTGCTGGAGTCATGCCTTTGAGATTTTTCCCTTCCAGCTGAAAATGGCAAATTTCGAGGAGTTAAGTTTCTTGGACAGAGTTCTACTGCCTTGAAGCTAAGCTTTCCTTCACCATGTGTATAATTTTATTGCATTCATCACTGTAAATCTATTGAATTTGTCTCAGTAAAAATAAAACAAAATCCCCCTCATCAAGTACATTACAGAGGAGCGTTAAGGTCAATGGCACAAAATCATTTTTGTTTCTGTAGCTCTTTTTCAAACATAGAGTATACTTCTATGTCATAAGCAGTGATTGGATTGTTCTTCAAACCAAATTGAGTCATCTCTTCTCCACCTTCACACACATTTGCCCAATATGGAGGTCAAGCTCTTGCCTGTTTTAGTTTGTCCATACAATTTCCTCTTTCTCAAAAAGTTAATATTTTCCTTCTTTGCATTTCTTTCCAAAAAAAGAAAAATGTTTTGATTCTCTTCAGGTAGCCAAATAATTTGTTCTGAGCAGATCAGTTACAGATTCTCAAACTGTTGGCTTTAATTTCAGGCTGTCCTTGAATCCAAAACTATCTTTTTTTTGGCCAAAGAGACTGTCTTTTTGTACTGTGCAAACTTGTAGAGCTTGAACAATTCAAATGGTTGTGTTTTCAGGATTTAAGACAACTGGTAGTGTACCTGGAACTTGCCATCACCCATGGGTACATTCGCAGCTGTCATTTGAACTGAAAAGTTGCTGACTGTAGTGCTTCCTTAGCTACTTTCAGGGACAGATAACCCACAAGCCACTCTTTGCAAACGTAGCAAATTCATTTTCAGTCATTTTAGGAAATCCCTTTCTTTTCAGCTTGGGGAAAGAGTTTCCAAAGATGCCGTCAGCGTCAGTTTCCAGCACCTCTTCTGAATTAGTTTCACACTCAGCTCCTGTACCCATCCTGTTTCCAGTGCTGCTGATGGAGAGCTTTTGGGTCCAGAGTAACAAAGCAAACACTGGCAGTGGGTACTGGTGGAAGAGCTGCAAAACCTCCAAGAAAACACATGGTGTGGGGTCCCAAAGCTCCCTGTGACAGTGTTCCCATCCAGCTGGGGGACATTCCAATAACAGCAGCTTCATGGTACTGGGGGGGAGGAGAGACCTCTGGGCCTTGCCAGAAAATATTTCAGTGTATGTCATGAATCTTTTAACTGTAAAATCTGGGAGTTTTCTGGTCTGGTTTGTTTTGGTTTTTAATAGAAAAAATTACATTTCCTCCAACATGAAATCATTTTCTCTAGTTACTTGTTGGGGGTCCTTTTTTCTTTAATTTTCTACTTAGAAAATACAAACCACATATTTTGGATCAGGTTGATCCAGACTGCACCTTCTTTCGCACTCACTCCCCTCCAAATCTCCAGGATGGGCTGCTTTCCCAGACAACAGCTCCCCCTCCACCCAAGCAGAGCCGCACAGGCGTCACACGTAGGCTGCCTCTGCCCAATTTCTTGAACAGTTTCTTTGCAGGAAACTCCTCACGGATCTTTCCGGCCACCCTGGACCCTTTCCAGGGCTCCTGCCTGGGCTGAGCTGATCCAGCTCTCATCCTCATGGCAATCTCTTCTTTTTATTGTTTTCATTTTTTACCACGGGTTTCTCGTACATTTCATTTTACAAAACAAATCAGCCCTGGTCAGATGACGACACTATGTTAAGCCCGCACCTTTTGGTGTATATAATGAGTTACTCTTGTGCTTTTCCCCCACCCCACGCACAGAGAGCTACTCCCGTGGTGCTGAACCCCATGTGCCCTGCCAGCACATGGTGATGGCACCAGCAGCAAGCTTCAGAAGGCAGCAGGAGCCCCAGCCTTTCCCACCAGCGCCGTCAGCCAGGCAGGCAGGGAGGGAGGGAGGGAGGGGAGACCCACCACAGCAGAGCCCATG